CACACACACACACACACACACACACACACACACACACACACACACAAGAAATGAAAGAAAAACGAACATCTGTGTTTGTTAATATGGAATGAGTGAAATTAATTAATGGGGCCCACTTTATAAATAATGTGCTTTAAACTTTAGATTTTGGGTAAAATATCAAGTCTTTTCAAGTAAACAAGGTCAAGTCCAATTCAAGTCCCAAGTCTCTGAACATTTTTTTCAAGTCAAGTCTACAGTCAAAATATTAATGACTCAAGCGGCCAAGTTATGTGACCCAAGTCCCCACTTCTGCCTGAAACCTCTGAAGATGACGTGTTGAATCATTAGTGATGTCATTGGTGTCTGGATGACTGTGATACAGGTGAGTGGCAATAAAAAAAACAAGAGTCTGAGTCTACACAGGCCTGTCTGAAAACTCCTACATGGTAAAATCCAGAAAAGGGCCAGCGAGACGTAACAAACATTTTTTTTAAACAAAAAGTTAAATCTTGAACAACTCTGCACATCTCGAGGCATTCAGAAGAGARTCGGAAACCTGTTGTCTCTTTGATCTTGTGTTTTTCCCTTCAACTCGAAGCCTGTGGGAGAGACGCGAGATGTGCCGCTGGGGATGGCGTTCAGTTCATCTCATTCTATTAATATTACAGCTAAAAAACCTGCAGGAATGGGTTGTTTACACAGAGGAGAGGTTTGTGTGCTCTGCCAAATCCTTGAATAAAAAAAATGTGCCATTTAAACGCTGGCTGCATCTGTATATAAATTTAAGAGCTTTAAAAAATGTTATATTTGTTTGCACTGACTGGACAAAAAAAGTGTTAAAAGCAATGGATTTTATAATAAAACACAATTAGAGATGTAATGTTTCTATCTTTTGCAACAGTGACAGGGCTTTTTTTGGCATTTTTGTCTCAATTATAGAGAACGGAAGAGATGACGAAGAGGAGAACAGGGAGGGAGTGACACTATATCCCTCAGCATTACTGGAGATTATCAGCCATCTTAATCCAATCCCAGCTCACATTAGTTTTCCAGTAAATATGTCTCTCTAAAGCCACTTAATCATTCAAAACTGGCCATTTTTATGAGCATTTCTAACAAAAGGCAAACCCTTAAAGCAGCATCTATTATCACTATTATACCCAGACGTCACAGACCCACATATAACTCCAGCGCCTCAACTGTGTGAGATTGTGAAAACAGCTCAGCAGAGAAGGAAGTGTTATTAGATGACTGAGCGTCCAAACAGTCTGTCACTGTCAGCCATGCAGCAGACGGCTAATGGAGACTCAACACATGTCGACACATGAGGCTGTGATATGTGGGAACATATTGACGCATCCTTGCAACACCTCTGTTTGCTCACTGCAACTGCTTATCATCTTGTGCTTCTCTATTTATCTAAATATCTCAGGAAGCACTTTGACTGTGATAAAAGTGATGTAATAGCTAGCTGGACAGGTGCCGAGCTAAACTTTGGTGTGGTAGTAGCCGAGAGTCGTCCTCAACAATTAACTGAGATCTTTATTTGAACCTTTAAACTGTTTTTATTAACACTAGGCTGTTTTCTTTGGTTTCCACAGCCTTCTTCCCCTCCCACCGGTAGCTCGTTAAGCAACACTCACCCATCTGTTGCCTCTCCCGTTCCAGGGACCTGTCTGATTCTGGGCTGCATGATCTACCCCGACGGCTGGGACAGCGACGAGGTGAAGCGGATGTGCGGYGAGCAGACGGACAAGTACACGCTGGGCGCCTGCTCGGTCCGCTGGGCCTACATCCTGGCCATCATGGGCATCATGGACGCCCTCATCCTCTCCTTCCTGGCCTTCGTTCTGGGCAACCGCCAGGACAGCCTGATGTCTGAGGAGCTGCTGGGAGACAGTAAGACCAGTTAGCCAGAACCAATCACATCCTCTAAGTGCTGCTCACTGCTCAAGATCCTAGCTGCTTGTCTTTTAGCATAATATCTTACAAAMCACTGGATGGAATCCATTTGGACTTGTAAAAAGTTATTCAGTGTGTAAATCAGTCAAAAAGAAAAAAATTGTATAGGTCTTCTGGACGGGTTCTTCTCTAATGAAACGTTTCGTCTCTCCTCCAAGAGACTTCTTCGGTCTGAGAGTTTCAGGCAAAATTCAGGCTTTTAAGCCCTGCCTCCATGTGACTGATACTCACATCACATGGCTATCGATGTGAGTATCAGTCACCTGTGAACCAGAGCCATGTGATGTGAGTATC